GGGTTGGAAGGGGCGACAACCCATAGAAGAAGAATGATACACCCCACCTCGAGATGAAATATAGTTGGAGCACTTTCTCACTAGGAGGAAAAATGATACATCGGAGGCTGTCATGATAGAAATCTCAATAAAAAATATCCTAAAACTCGAAAACAATATGTATATAGACGTAGGATAATGAGGAGTGGACCCTGTTGTGAAAAGGAGGGAACTTCATGCCTGGAAGGACTGTTTGGTCCCTCCTTGGCTCAAACCGACCTGAAGAGTGGACCCTGTTGTGAAAAGGAGGGAACTTCATGCCTGGAAGAACTGTTTGGTCCCTCCTTGGCTCAAACCGACCTGAACTAAACCGAAACATCACTACTTCGTCACGTTTTAGGCAGAAGGTGCCTCTTGCCAGTCTCCAAAGGTTGTGGGAGATTCGATATCATTTTTCGAAGCTTTTATCAGCCCATTGAAGGTGGCAGAGTTGTTGTAACCCCTGAGGTTGAAGGGTCTTCACTTGTGTTGATATGACCATCTAGATCCCACTGTTGGTTGCAACAGTTCCCAAAACAGCTGAGGAGCTTTATCCACTTGCGAGCAGCGATCCGTATCAGTTCAATCTTTAGGGAGTACACTAGGTATATACTGTTGAATCCTCCCAAAGTAACCCCAGATTGACTCATCCCAATTTGAAGTGATGGCATCCAAACTCTTCTCGAGTGGTGGCAACTCTGGCTGTAAGCTATTAATCAGAATCTCCTCAAACTCTCTCTGTACGGGTTGCGATGTGTCTTCAATAGACTCATCTATCACGGTCTTTTGTCAGCACCAAGACTGATCCTCCCAATACTTTTCGGGTGGCAAGAGCACCTGTAATCTCGGGCTTTGCAGAAGATTGAAGGTTTATGTGTTTGTCATCTTTGGTGAATCATTAGGTGTTTCTGTACCAATCATGTTGAGTCTTGTGATCATAAAACTACAGTTTTCTCAATAAAAGGGGGCAAACATTCATGGGCACCACATCGCACCAAAGTTGATCGTGCAACTAGCTCTCAATTGAAAACTCCATGAAACGCCTCCTGACAATGTTGATCATGTTCTTCTTTTTCAACCCTGTCAAAGAATATAACTGGGGATGTCTCTGAGTCGTGATGCTCAATTTGTCCACTATCAGTGTTTTTTTTTTAAATTCACAATCAGTGTTCACACCACATTTTTGCTCCTACCTCCATTAATGTTGGTGCTGCATACCTTTCCCTATGCAACAAGTATATAATATATTGTGACGAAGCCATTGTTGCTCCCTTGGCGCCTGAGTCGAAAGGACTTGTCGAACCACAAACATCTTGCTCTTATCTGGTGGATACTGATACTCCTTACCCTTTTCTTCATTTGCTTCCTCGTCGCTAGCTTCTTTCACTGCACCTTACTCGATAAAGTCTACAACTCTGCTCGTCGGGAAATTGGACGTGATGTGCATAAATGCATGACATGAAACATTTTTTAGTTGGGACTATAGTGGGCGTGTTACTCTTCTTAGGCTTCTTCTCACTTTGAGTGGCTCTGTCCTTATCTTGTGCGGTCTTCATAACTCTTTAAAGGGTACTGTTAATGTCTCCAACTGCAGGTGGCTGTCTGATCTTCTTAGGCATCTTCTCACTTTGAATGGCTTTGTTCTTGTCTTAACCAGCCTTCTCAACTCCCTGAGGCGTGCTCTTGTTGATGTCTTCCACTGTCGTGGCTGTCTGAATGGTGTTGGTCGCTCTCTTTATTTCTTCTATCTCTCCACCCTCAATGCTAAGATCTGAGCATCTTCCAGTGACCAACAGGGCTGCAATTGAACAACATTATTGATAGTCGGCTTCATACCTTCTAAATATCTGGCTATAGTATTGTAAATAATAACAAAATTCTTTATTCGTACTGTCAATTTTGTAAAATTATAGTTGAGAAGATTTTAAAGAAAATAAAGTGTGATAAAATAGTAGAATCTAATGGTATTCAAATAGAAGTGCACAAATGTTTTAGGAAATCTGAAATTTTTTTGGTTTATTTAACTTTTTAATATTATTTTAAAAACAAAAAAGATGTATAATGATGAAGAGTGAAGAAAGAGTCTGTTGGTTCCTATTTTTAAGAATAAATATGATGAACAAGAGTGTGTTAATTATAGAAAAATTAAGTTAATGTGTCATACATTAATTATGGGAGAGATAATTGAACATAAGTTACAAATTGATACCAAAATTTCTCAAAATCAATTTAGATTGTTGTCGGACATGTCTATTGTGGATGCTATACATTTATTAAGAAGTTTGTTGGAGATATGGAGTAAGGAGGATCTATAGATGATTTTCGTTGATTTTGAAAAAGTTTATGAAAAATTTCAAAAGTACTTTGGATAGTTATAGAAAAAAAATGTGTTGATATTACTTATATTCAAGTCATTTTATATATATATATATATATATATAATATATATAATATTCTAGAGTTGTTATTTGTGTTCGAACACTAGAAAAATTGACGGAGTATGTTCCTATTTCAATTGGATTACATCGGGACCAGCTTTAGTTATGAATGTTCTTATTTTTTATTTATTTCACATGAGGATGTACTTTGGTGTATGCTTTCCATTGATGTATCCTTGTGGATAAAACTTGAGAGAGCGTTCATGAAGAACTTGATTTATGGAGGTCAACTTTAGAGTCTAAAGACTTTCATTTGAGTTGATCGAAAATTGAATACATAATATAATTTTAATAGTAGTAGATATTGCAGCGCGGTTGTAACAATGAGTGATCAATTCATTAAAATGAGTGAACTTTTTAGATCTCTCAAGTCTGTCATTCAAAGTGATGGTGATATAGATGGGGATGTTGTTAGTAGAATTTAAGTTGGATGGTTGAAGTTGAGAAATGCAGCAGGCCTACTTTGTGATAGAAAAGTACCACTCAAAGGAAAATTTTATAAGATAATCGTGAGACCTGTAATGCTTTATGATGCAGAACGTTGGCCTGTAAGAGAAGCATAAAATTAAGTGAAGTGTTGCTGAGATGAGAATGGTTAGGTGGATGGGTGGCTTTACACTAAAAGACAAAATGCGAAACAATATATCCATGAAAGTTTTAGAGTTACTCCAACGGCTGGCAAGATTAGAGAGAGTCATCTTAGATGGTTTGGTTAAATTAAAAGTCAACCATTTGAGGATCAAGTTAAGAGAGTAAGTGTTTTAGATTTGACTTATGTTATGAAAGGTAGAGATAGACCTAAAAAGACTTGGACATGTTGTATAAAAAATTATCTTAATTTATTAGAATGAAATGAAAATGACACTCAAGAGGACAATAGAGAAAATGATTCATGTAGCCGACTCTACTTAGTTGGATGAAAGGTTGTTGTTGTATCTTGCATGCACTCAAAAGATGCAATTATTCTTCTAATCATTGAAAGAAAAAAAAAATCATGCTGGGTGAATGAGCTAATTTTGGACGCCTTATTATTTGGAATGCATTTAGTCTTTCGTAATGCAAATAATATGTACATGTAAGAGTTTATAAATTATTCAATCAGTCATTAGGTAAAAGTTTGTAATTTTTTTTGGTTTTTTTACATTGTAGTGCTTGTCTCCCCTTTTTGGACTAATTGCCACTCATACTTTACGAGCCCAAGATTCTTATATTCATCCTATACAAACCCCCTTATTGTTGTTGTTGTTTTTGGATTCTCCCCATTGTTCTTAAAAAACCTTGTTGGAAAGTTCCTTGAAAAGTTCATAGTTCATTGAATTGCCAAGCTATATAGGCGATTCCAAGATTAATTTTTCAATTCATTAACCACCACCTACTTAATATTTCCAATAATTATAATGAAAACCTTTGCAATGTCGGTGGTTAACAATTGACCTTTTGCAAAATGGTATGCTATAGATTCTCCCAAAGATGTTATTCTCTTGAAGAGAGTTGGACTTTGATACCTTTGTAGGTTCTATGAACACGCAAAAAACATATGAGAATAGCCTGAAATTTCACTCAGGAATGGCATTGAATGAAGCGATAAATACTTGTGAGAGCGATGGCGGCTAGTAAAATATAAAGTAAGGGTCTGTTTGAGGCAGCTGCAACTTATTAAAGGAAGTTAGGAAGCTGCTGAAAAATAATGTGGTGTTCAAAAAGTTACGGTGGGTATTACAATTTTTTTTTAAAAGTCACATCGCAGCTAAAAAGTTGCCACCGCACCTAACCAGAACCGGTGTGAAAACACAGATTTCAGCAGTAGCTTTTTGAAAAAACTGTCAAAATACAGTTTACCCAAGCAGACAAACTGTGCGGTACTACACCGCCATCGCACTGCCGCTCCAAACGGGCCCTAAATCACATAACATAATGATTTTTAGTGTGTAGGCTATATCTCAAACCCATGTCTACGATGTATGATTGAAGCACCTTGGCTTCTCCAGTATTTTACCTATCTATACAAATTTTAAACTCATGCGGCGTTACAAAAGCTTATAAAATCCTTATTTGGGTTTTCCAGTCGTCTGCAACATTGCAGTATTGTTTAATTTTTATCTTTGTTCTTATTTCTCTCTCAAAAACTGCAATATCCTATTACGACTAATTTCTGCTATATACATAAAGCCACATTTTTTACATATATAACACACAATTCTTATGTATTTACATATCTAACGCCTAGACATTCATATTTACACGGACATTCATATTTATAACGCCTAGACATTCATATTTACACGCATACCACTTAAAATTTTGACATCACATCAAATCTATCACCATCACTATCTTTTTAAAAGTGAAATGTAAACCTTTTCATGCATAGGTTCATGACACCACTGTGTTAGAAGTATAAACCAAACTTTGGGGGCTAGATATATAAATACATAAGAATTGTGTGGTATATGTATTAAATTTCCCTTATTTTAATATTGTTATTCTGTTCAGCAAGGAATAAATCCTTATCCATTAATTTGGCTTCCTAAACTCATTAACTAGATTTTGCATTCCCCCGGTGAAGATGGCAGTGCTGCTATTATGCCTGCAAATGCCTGCGTTGAAGATGTCAGAGAGGTAAAATTGTGTTCTATACATCATTTTTTTTGCTATTATGTTTACTTCAATTAGAGGCACAATGAGATCTAGTTTGCTGAGGAAAATTTTGCTATTATGTAACCCAATGTTTTAAAAGCTTGAAGGAAGAAAAGGTTGGGGATTTACATGCATATCCATAAAGTTCTATATATTTATGTATTTTTTTGTAAGATTTACATACATACCACTGAATTCTTATGTTTTCACATTTCTAACACTTAAACTTCAATATTTTCTATGCATGAAAAGATGCATTTCACTTTTTTAGAAGCTAAAAATGGTGGTATTTTTTATAAATGTAAAAATTAAAAGGGTGTTAGATATGTAAATGCATAAGAACTGGGTGGTATGTATGTAAATGCCCTATATTTATTTATGCAATACTATTCTTTTAAGTGACACAGAAAGTATCACAAATTTAATTTATCTAAACTGAAGTACACTTTTTCATATATTTTTGATTTTATTTAGACAATAGGATTTAATTTTGTGTTATTTTTGTAAATCCCCAAAAAGATGATGCTGTGAATGGATATCAATGTGCAACTAACTATTACATCAGGTTTGCGTTAGGAGTCCAATGATGGGGAGCCAAATGTCAAGCGGGCCTTACTGTAATACATTGAGATTGACTAGTGTAAAAATGATGGAGCCCGCTTGACACGTGGCGATCTTCCATTGGACTCCGAACGCATCCGGAGTCTTGATGTAATATTTTTTCGATTCTTACTGCATGATTGAGAAATTGGAGTGCGTGCGAAGAAAAATTAAGTAGACTAAATGCAATCAAATTAATTGCATTTATTTTGCAACAAATGTGTAAATAAAATTGAAAATTTTAAATAATTTTAATTATTATTATTTCATTTCCTTTTAGCCATACATAAATGCTAATAGCGCCCAGTTCTTTCTGTTTTTATTCGGCATTGTGGTCTCATAGTTCTTTATTTAGTAAAAATTAAAATTATTTGAATTATGGGGCAATAGTTTCGATATAATTTTTCATTTTCATATAATTTAATTAAAAATATAATGTCACTGTTTTTGCCAAAAAAAATTCTTTGCGGACTCCTGACGTAGCTCTACGTGCGGCGCAGGAAAAAAATTTCTTTGCGGACTCCTGACGTAGCTTTACGTGCGGCGCAGGGTATTCTTAAGTTATTTTTAGGTTATTTCTGGGTTATTTTCAATAATCCAAAACCGTGGTATTTATTTTTGGGTTATTTCTGGGTTATTTCAGGATTATTGAAAATAATTCAGAAATAACCTGAAAATAACTTATGAATAACCTACAATGCACGTAGAGTTATGTCAGGTGTTCCGACAGAAAATGCGCGTCTGTTTTTTGGGGGCGATATACATGCACACCACGCAATATTTAGGTTTTCACTCATATAATAATGATTTTATTAAGGGGTATTTTCATACATACCACCCAAATTTTTCTGTTTTTGCATATCTAGCGTTTTGCATTCATAAAAAAAATATCATTGTTTTTAACTTTTATAAAGTGAATAAACATTTTTTTACATAATTTTGGTGTGGGATATATGTAAAAATTAAAGTTTAGTTGTTATATATGTAAATATGTAAAAAGTGAGTGGCATACATGTAATCTCACTTTTATTAACGTGTTATTGTTGAATCGAACGATCTCGTTCCATTCATGATACCACATAATCCGGCATAAGATTTTGAAATCCTCTGACTAAGAAAGGAAAAATAGAAAGCCCTATATTTACCAATGAGGATTAGACTTTCGCTCAGCGAATGCCCGTGATGTGATGAGTGTCCTTTGTCTTGATTAGCTTGTATTTATTATTGAGCAGGGGGTATTTTCAGTTGGATTTATGCGTCGAACGCGAAGTTCTTTTTTTGCGAGTGGATTTGTTTGGAAGTAATAAAAAAGAGGAAGGACATGTAGTATTTAAACATACAAATATTAAACATTTGAGTGTTATGATTGTAAAAATGAAAATTTAGGTGTCCTCATTGATTTGGTGCATGTGTGTGTATGTTTGGGTTAAACATCTTTATTAGAATGATTATATCTATTGGATTTTACATACAAATGCGTTCACAGGGCGTCCACTATTGCTCCTCTCTCCTCGCATAAATTAATGGAATTTTTGAAGTAAATTTAATTTTCATATTTGCTTTTTTTTTTAACAATATAATTGTTTATTTTTATCTCTTTTAAGCTATTTTTTAAAAATTAAAATCACTTATTTTGAAATATTTAAAATAATTTTTAGGTGTAGGGTAGTTTTAAAAAAAAATAAAAATATATATATTTAATAAGCCAAATATATTTTATTACTTGAGCGAGAAAGGAGATGATATAACTAGGGCTGTTAAAACGGTTTGTTGTTCGCGAACAACTCGTGTTCAACTCGTTAAGAAGCTCGTGTTCGGCTCGTACGCTAAGGTAACGAGCCGAACACGAACAACGCAAACAAATATTTGTTTGTTCGTGTTCGGCTCGTTTTGGCTCGAAATACTACTAATCAATTATATATATTTTTTTGATGAATAGTTTTAGAAAAAAATTAATTGACTACAAGACAACAAAGATTTATAATTAATTAAAATATTAATGAAGAAAATAGAATAAAAATTATTAATTTAGATTCAAATGATGTTTTAAATCTTGCCCCAATCCTTAACATCTTATGGCTTCACGATTAGTGTTATCAAAACGACTCTTTGTTCGTGAATGGCTCATGTCCGGCTCGCTAAGCAAACGAGCTGAACACGAACATACTTTTTGTGCTCAAAATATACTCGTGTTCGGCTTGTTTACACCCCTAGATGTAACGATTAATTTAAATAATATTTATACATCATAAACGTTGAAAAAATAAAAAAAAAAATATTTTCGCATATATGTCATGTATTTGCATTAAAGTGTCAAAATAATTTTTGATTATTTGTCTGTGGATTTAGGGCTCGTAGAGTTCATTCTCTTGTATGTTACCCTATAATAAGCTCATTTGCAAAATAAGATCTGCCCACAAGAGAACTACCTAAGTGCTTGTCATAAAATGCCTATTGTAGGGAGTTAGAAATATAAATGCAATTAGAGAGGAGATATATAATACTCTATAATTCCATCTCAGACAGAGCTTATGTTATGTCAATGAAGCAATGCCGACTTATGATTTTCTTAGCTGAATAAATATGTGTTCACACATTAAATACTATATCCATAAAATGTATGCCAATTATTAAGGTGACACTTTTGTAATCTCAAAAATATAAATAAAAAAAATTATATCAAATAAGTGAATTGAGCGGTTAAGTTTGTGAGATTTGGAATATGTTTGATCTTTCAATTATGCACTGAGAGATTCTAAAAGTGGTTTAACAATTTAATTTGGACTTGATTTGACTTAAATTGAACCAATTTGGATGACTTGAGTTTGTCAGGTCGAGCTGACCAATTTGACTGCAATTATACTGAAATCTGAGTAATTAATAATCTTTCATCAAAATTTTAATGTTTCTTGTTCAAAAATTATCTTGAGATTCATGAATTTGCTCAAAATTCATGTCAGATGATCAAAAATTTTTTGATAGCTAATCACTCTTTTATAATTTATTATTTATTTTATCTTGAAAATTTATAGCATGGCATCCAAATTGAATTTTGATTTAAATTATTATAACAAAATTAACAATATTATTTATTTCTTGTATTGGATCGGATCATGCTGAAAACCGGCCACTTCTACATCGGGCAGGCATTTTATCCCACTTTTCTTCTCAAATCAAATCCCTTTGATCGTCTTCCCAGCTCTGTCGAGAAGTCTACCTCCGGTCAATGCCGGCGCCTACTCAGCTCTTTCCCTAATTATTAATTTAGATTCAAATGATGTTTTAATTCTTGCCCCAATTCTTAACATCTTATGGCTTCGTGATTAAGGTTGTCAAAACGACTCTTTGTTCGTGAACAACTCATGTTCGGCTCGCTAAGCAAACGAATTGAACACGAACACACTTTTTGTGCTCAAAATATACTCGTGTTCGGTTTGTTTACACCCCTAGATATAACGATTAATTTAAATAATATTTATACATCATAAACGTTGAAAAAATAAAAAAAAATAGATTTTCGCATATATGTCATGTATTTGCATTAAAGTGTCAAAATAATTTTTGATTATTTGTCTGAGGATTTAGGGCTCGTAGAGTTCATTCTCTTGTATGTTACCCTATAATAAGCTCATTTGCAAAATAAGATCTGCCCACAAGAGAACTACCTGAGTGTTTGTCATAAAATGTCTATTGTAGGGAGTTGCAATTAGAGAGGAGATATATAATACTCTATAATTCCATCTCAGACAGAGCTTGTTATGTCAATGAAGCAAAGCCGACTATGATTTTCTTAGCTGAATAAATATGTGTTCACACATTAAATACTATATCCATAAAATGTATGCCAATTATTAAGGTGACACATTTGTAATCTAAAAAATATATAAAAAAAAAGTATATTAAATAAGTGAATTGAGCTGTTAAATTTGTCAGTTTTGAAATATGTTTGACATTTCAATTATGCACTAAGAGATTCTAAAATTATTTTAACAACTTAATTTGACTTAAATTGAACCAATTTGGATGCCGTTGAATTTGCCGGGTCGAGCCGGCCAGTTTGACTGCAACTATACTGAAATCTGACTAATGAATAATCTTTCATCAAAATTTTTATATTTCTTGTTCAAAAATTATGTTGAGATTCATGAATTTGCTCAAAATTCATGTGAGATGATGAAAATTTTTTGATAGCTAAGCACACTTTTATATTTTATTATTTATTTTATCTTGAAAATTTATAGTATGGCATCCAAATTGAATTTTGATTTAAATTATGATAACAAAATTAACAATATTATTTATTTATTTATTTATTTATTGTATCGGATCGGATCATACTGAAAACCGGCCACTTCCACATCGGGTAGGCATTTTATCCCACTTTTCCTCTCAAATCAAATCACATTGATCGTCTTCCCAGCTCTGTCGAGAAGTCTCCCTCCGGTCAATGCCGGCGCCTACTCAGCTCTTTCCCCTCATCTCCTAAAATTCTCCGCAACGCAGCGCAACTCAACCGTGAAGGAAAGAAGCAATCTCTTCCTTCCGAGTTCAGATAGTTGGAACTCGAGATAAGGAGGACGAAGTGGATTACCGCGTGGAGGCTGCGAGGAATCGGAACCGGCCGGAGATCGGCGAGGGATTAGATGGCCCCCTTCGCTCAGGAGAAGAGCGTGCTTCTCCCGGTCGTTGATTCTCCTCTTTCCGGCGATGAGAGCCTCTTCAAAGGCTCCGGGATGACCAAGAGGGGTGCTCGCGCTGCTCTTTCGTACATGCTCTGTGCAGGTTAGGTCTTCCTCCTGTGCTATTCTTTTTCCGATCTGTTTTGATTATCCTCTTTGGTTGATATTGGGAGTGGGAATCATTAGCATGGTTTGACTGCATATCATTCTACGGAGGGGGAGGGGGGCGTTCGGCACAAATTTTATTTGGAAGGTTTATATACACGCTGCTTAATTCTTATCATATTTCATATCTAGCCCGCATTTTTTAATTTTTACATATGTACCACCTTTCTTATGCATGAGAAGGTGTATATCACATTTAGAAGTTGGAAGATATGCATACATAGCAGTCAATTCTTATGTAATTACCCATCTAATACCTAAACTTCAATTTTTAGGTCTATGGAACCTTAACTATGCATGGAAAGTTGTATTTCACTTTCTTAAATTTCAAATAGTGTTTTTTTAATGTAAAATAAAAGAATTGAGTGGTAAATTTTAAAAAATAAAGGTTCAGTTTTAGATATGTGAACACATAGGAATAGTTGGTGTGTGAGAGAAAAATATCTAACATGTAAACTTCACTCTTTTACATTTATAACACCAAAATCTTTCATAGCACACCAAAACTACTACCATTTTAACTTTAAAAAGAAAAAAAAAGGAAAAAAAAACTTTTTTGGCATAGGTAAGGTGAAATTTATGTAAAAATTAAAGTTTTGGTGTTAGACATGTAAAAACATAGGAATCCAGTGGCATGTATGTAAGTCTTCCAAACAGAAACAACCATCATTACCAGTCCAAAGCTTATTTGAGAAAAGTTGAGGTCTGATAATGGGTCAATATTTACTCTTGAAATTGCCCTACTACTACAACAAAATGAACCCAAATCAGAATTTTCAAGTCCTACAACGTTCTTTGGAAGCAATGTGGCACAACCTAATTTAGTAATGGTGAGTGGTAGGCAATGGTTTTCGTAGGATATCACTTTCAGATGGCCTCAACTTAAATCATTTGCCGTTAAAAATAAGAAAGTGTGGGCTACGGCCTCACCCGCATTTGATATGCTAAAATTTAACTCAATCTTATCAAAAAGGGTTGACTAAGTTTAAAATTAAATTAGATTAGGTGTGCAGGGTTTATGAACTTTGAGTGGAAAGAATAGGGCAGGCGCACATTACTGATTATAAAATGGAAGATTTACATACATACCATTGAATTCCTGTGTTCTTACATATCTAACACCAAAACGTCATTTTTACATACATGCCCACATTGCCTGTGCAGCAAGAGATGTATTTAACTTTTTTAAAAGATAAAAATGATAATATTTTTGATGTGATATGAAAATTTGGGTGTTAAAAATCTAAAAAGTGAAGTTTAAATGTTTGATAAGTAAATACATAGGAATTGGTTATGTATGTAAATGCCCCATATAAGCAATAATAAATAGTAATTCCTTGCATAAAAGTAAATTAAATAGGAATATTAGAAGTTAGTGTGTTGGTAAATTAGGAAAATAATTGATAATGAGTTGAAAGATAACATTTTTACTTGAGAAGAGTTAGTACTAGGATGATTGCTCTTATGATTATTAGCGAGTATATTATAAATGCATTTATGCTGGTATTTTTCAAGTTAGATTAAAAGATTGAAAGTTGGTCAGCTTTGAGAATAGATGGATGAACTGTTATAATATATGCTTTGTGAATAAAGGATGTTATTTGAGTTACCAAATTGGACATATTAGGTTCTAGTAGGATAAACAATGAGAACAAACAATGTATCATGAGCTTATAAATAATATTCAAAAAAGAATCTAGGTGTAGTTCTAATTGATGAGACATATATGTGCAAATAAGTGGATTTTAGAACAATAAAAAGTGTTATGGAAATAGTGGGCTTAGAATTAGCATAAAAAAAATTGGATATATGATATACAATTTTAATGACTTGATATTGATAATAAATCATTATTATTCAAAGATAATGCATGTGTGCCTTCCTGTTGATTTCATGACCATGTAAAACTCATTTGTGGACGAACTTTAAGTCCCTTATCTCTTTGAAAGCATTATTTATTTTGTTACGTTTTGCACATGTCAAAACAACATCAAGTGGATCATTAAGAGGCTGAGGTCTACCAAATGCACCGTATTGATCCATTTTGGCTTAGATGGCCCCTTTTTATTATGCACCATTTATAATTTTTGTAAATACTTCATTGCATGTAAATGAGTTTATTTCTTGTTAATTCATGTAAAAATTCTCAGTAATCACAAGAATAGTTGCTTAACTTTGTGTTCGATATTCCATCTTCATTTTCATCGTATTTATCAGAATTTGTTGATTTGCAATTTTATAGTACTTCTGGTGATGTTCAACAAAGCAGCTTTGTCGTCATATAATTTTCCATCGGCTAATGTCATCACACTTTTACAGGTAACTTCCTCACTCATAATTTTATGATGCTTATTTTGAAAAATGTAAAATAGTCCCCAATTTCTTTTAATCTTTAATTTCAATGTGTGGCTTAGTAATGTTTGTGGCATATATGTCACCCTTTGCAATGACTTACATATAAAAATTATGCTAAAATTTAAACTTCACCAGGCACAAATTCAAGGCCTGTTAACAATCAAACCTTTTTCATATCTTTTTTTTCTCAATCGATTTCATATTGTTTACATACATACCACCTAATTCCTATGTATTTACATATCTAACACCTAAACTTTACTTTTTTTACATTTATACCACCCAATTCTTTATATCACATAAAAAAAAACTTTTATTTTAGCTTTTAAAAGGTTAAATACACCTTTTCGTGCATAGGCTGGGAGGCATAAATGTAAAATTAATTTTTGGGTTTTAGATATGTAAATACATAAAAATTGGTTGGTTTGATTGTAAATCTTCCTTTAATTTTTTATTTTTCATTTTTATAACTCTTGTTTTTATTCTTATCTCTTCATAGATGATATCCTCAACTTCCCTTCTTTTTGTGCTAAAACGTTGGAAGATCATCACTTTCATTGCCAGTGATCACTGGTCTTCAACCGAGTCCGGAAACTTTGTTCCTCCGAAGAAACTTTTGCAAACGCTTCCCCTTTCTTTGGCGTATTTGCTATATATGGTTTGTTGCTGTAAATCTGTTCTAAACTGTTATTTGAAATCATCTGACTTTTTTTAGTAGTTTAGCCCTTTCTCTCCTTTGTGAATAGCTTGCAGGGATGGAGTCTGTGCGTGGAGTAAATGTTCCCATGTATACCACCCTTAGACGCACTACTGTCGTCTTTACAATGATTGTGGAGTACCTACTTATAGGACAGAGGTATACACTTTCTATTGTTGGCAGGTAAACGGCGCGGCCTTTCTTTTTTGTGGCCCTCACAAATTTATTTTTGTTTGCTGTGCAATTTAAATTTACTTTTTAATTCAAATTCAAACAAAATATCTAGTGCTTGAAGCTCCACTAATTTTAGGTCTGCAGAAAGCTTAATGTGCTATATTTTTATATTCTTGAGAGGTTGTTATGCAAATCTAAAATCTATACTCATTTGATATGCAAATCATTTAATTTACAATGTTCTAGTTATCTTTTTCTGTGTGTAAACATATCTATGTGATGATCTTATATGAAAAGGTGGTGTTGTATAGTATTTTTAGTATTTTATTAGAAATAATTCATTACTCTAAGGTCTGTATTTAGTCCGTTTAAGTTCACATTGAATTCAACAATTGTTATGATGAGAAGAGTTGGAGAAATAAATCTTACATTTTGTTAGACTAATTTGCTTTGTCTATTGTTATTGGTTATTTTGGGTCATTTACATACATAGCACATAATTCTTATGTATTTACGTCTATTGTTATTGATTATTTTGGGTCATTTACATACAATTCTTATGTATTTACATATCTCACACATAAACTTTAATATTTACACATAGCTCTCAAATATTTAATATCACATAAAAAATAGCTATATTATCACTTTTTAATGGTGAAATACACCTTTTCATGCATAGGTTTAAAGCACCAAAGTGCTATGAATGTGAATATGAAAGTTTAGGTGTGAGTTATATAAATATATATGAATTGTGTGCTGCGTATGTATATACCCTGCTTTCTATTGCTCTTCTTCTTTTTTTTTTCCCACCCTATTTGCAACTCCTTTTGTAGGCCATTTTCTTTATTGTTAATGTGGTGTTGCCTCAAACTTAAATACTTCCCTTTATTCTATCTTGTTAATTGGCTCAGCTCTCATTGGACCCACCACACTATCTTCTATTGGATGTGATGCATGGCTCCATGTTTTTTTTTTGACGTTATTCATATGGTTTTTTTTTCTTGTAGTAGTAAACTGAGAATTGAATTTGTATGAAAGATTTGATATTGTTGGCTTTCATAAAGGATGATTTGAAAAAGTTTGAATAGATTATGTAATTTTTTTTGTTGTTTTTTTATCTTTCGTTAGCTGTAAATAGAATCTGTCAGACATACATACTCATTTATATTGAGTATTACAACATGGGTTGCTATTTTCTTAAAATTTTTTATTTTGTGTGCTTGTTGGATGTGTATTCTTCGAAGTGCTTTCTAGGTATTACTTATGGGGGCAAGTTTTTTTATACTGGCTTGAGGTCCAATTATTTTTTAAGGTAATTTCTATCGTCATTATTATTTTAATTTGTTTAAATATTTGTTTTGTGTGTGATTAAAATTTGTCTTGGGTTATATGTATTGGATTTTTTATTTTCCTAGTGCCAACTTATTAATGTTTGTTCACTATTTTTCTTATGAAATTTCAAATTTTAATGACTAGTAAATTATCATTTAGAATGACCAAAATGTGTTTTCTATTTTTACATAAAAGTAAGTTTTTTTTTTTTTGCTAAAGTTAAAAGTTGGTATATTTGGATGTGGCTTTAATTTGTTTTTATGGTACATATCATTAGTCATCCTAGGTTGTATTACTAACCTTTAATCATCCTATATGAGATTGGCATTAGAGCTTGCATCATCATTATAATTAAAATATGACATAATACTTCGCCAATAGAAAATATTATTAGACTTGCAATTAAAACAAAATAGTGTGTGGCATTACTCTAAATGAATGCAACTTAACCATTGAGAGGATCAAAATTATGTATTCTTACATTCAATTGGAGGCATATCCTGGAGATATTCTTAGACTAGATTACTGAATTGGATTGCTTCTTTGAAGACTATCATTTATTTGATTTTAAAAAAGTTAGCACTACTCAAATAAAATTAGTTGAGCTTGCTTAAACTTATTCGTTGGCATATTGTATAAAAAATGATCTTAATTTATTAGAATGAAGTGAAAATATGACACTCGATAGGATGCAATGAAGAAAACAGATTCATGTAGCCGACCCCACTAAGTGGGATAAAGGTTTGTTGTTATTGTTGTTGTATGTTTAAACTTATTCGTGTAGTATTGCAAGCAAAACAAAATCTTGATTAATGTGAAATATAAGCTTGAAGAACAATATATGTTATACACAACATTGGGAGCAATTAAATATTCACTTTAAGGGTTATAGACAAAGTAACTCTATTGTGTTTGCAAATTATAATAGGTTTATGGATTTTATATTTAAATGTGATTTTCCTTGACACTTGAGACTATCTTATTATCATTATATATTTTGTTAAATGTCTTGAGCTGTTAAGTTACAATTTATTTAATATAATTAAGGCATTAATCAAATTTTTTATTATTGAAACTTCTTAAGTATGATCTATTAGTACAATATTGCTTGCAATTCAAATCCCCAAAGTTAAATCTTTTTCCTCTCCTCTCAAACATATCAAATATATCTTGAAAAATAAATCGTTTTTTTGCCAAATCCAATATTACTAAAGAGATTGGAATGAATATTGTTTTGAAGATGAATTTGATGAAAATTTATTATTATTGTTGAACTCTTTATATATTGTGGTGTTTGAATTAGAACCTATATTAGAACATAAATATGAACTTGAACTGCTTATAGAAACCCTTGAATATGAACTTGAACTGCTTATAGGAACTCTTGAATATGAACGTAATTTTATAAATGGCATTGAATCTGTCCTTAAATTTATATTTGAAAAATTAACTTGCTAAATATAATAAATGAATAGGAAAGTGAAAAACTCAATCCTAGTTAAGATGCTAAATAAATTAATTAAGTTAATGTAACTCTTGATGAAAATTTTTACAACCTTGTATACCTATTAAAGTGAATTGATTTTATTTATACTTAGCTTTTTTTACATACAAATTCATAAAAGGAGATTAAACGTGGAAAGTGAAATTAAATCAATATTTTGATGAATTTATTAATTAAAAAGACCATAAATAAAATAAATACTGTTTGGTTAATTCTTAAAGTCTGTAAATCATCTCTACTAAGAATTATAACATTCCTGGTTAGCTTTCTTTAAGGAGGTTGTCCATCCATATTGATATTTTCTCTTTGTGTGAATTGCTTGTTTTTAATTTTCTTCATCACCGCAACATATAGGAATAAGTTATAAATCAATACAAGTGTCCCTTAGGATTTGTGATGCATTATAGTATTTTTTTTTACATGTTTTATATTCATAGGATTTGCATAATTTGCACTATATGCATGAAGTTATTCACATAAAGCTAATTATTTATTATGTTCATGAATACTATTTTTGAGATGAATAGGAGACAAGTGGAATTCAATTTGTTGATTAGTGTATTTAAAGACATTACTTATAAGAAAGATGAGGCCTCATAAAAGTATAAAATCTGTCGGGATGAATATTTATGAATTAAAAAACATTAATAATTTTTTAGTGATCAAACTTTAATGTTTCTAATTTAACTTTATTTTATGAATCTACTGTCAGTTCTCTGAATTCCTTTTTCATCCCCTCATGAATTCACATCCAATATCTTGTGAAATTGATTTACTTATCTAGTTTTAGTAGATGACTTTTATGTAAGGATTGTGGCTATTACTAGTGGATATTACAGTTTTTCTTAAAAATGAACATAATGATGCAAATCTTCATCTATACTCATTGTTTATGCAAATCATGTGCATAAATGATGTATTAATTATCTTTTTTCTACCTTATTTTTATATAAAACTATAACTATATTGATGATCCTATTTGAATGGGACATGTTCTCTTATATTTTGAGTATTTTAGTATGATTAGTTCACTATTTTAAGATTCTGAGTTAACTTGTTGAATTTAAAATCAGATTATTTAAAATACATATTCAATTAAATAATTATTGTGATGAGAAGGGTTATAAGGATGTCAATTTTTGGGATATTATGCCTTGTTTTCTGTTACTAGTTTCCTCAACCTACTATCTATTGTTCTACTTCTCATTTCCCGTTACCTGCTATTGCTGTCTCTGTTTTCTACTACTTCCTATTGTTTGGTCTCTGTATAGTTCAGTGCCTTCCTATTATTATTGTCTCAGTCTCCTCAGTCTCCTCAGTCTCGTTCTTCACTACAAGCTATTATTTTATTGAGAAATTTACATATGCAGCACACCATTTTTATGTATTTACATATCTCACACCTAAACTTTCATATTTACTTACAAAGCACTGTGGTGCTTTAATCTTATGCATGATTAGGTGTATTTCACTTTTAAAAAGTGATGCTAGTGTTATTTTTGATGTGATATTAAAGATTTTAGTATTACATGTGTAAATATGAAATTTCATGTGTGAGATAATTAAATACATTAGAATTGTGTGTTATTTATGTAAATGCCCCTATTTTATTTTCATACTACTCATGCTGCCTGTACTTCCCGCTATTCAATTTCCTACAACTAACATCACTGACTCTTGTTATTCTTCCTGTTGCCACCTCTGTAGCCTGCTAATCCAGCTGTTGTTGCCTCTGCTGTCCCACTAATCTTGATATTCTAAGTGTTTGTGTTGGTGCTTGGAGTGATCATTAGGTTTAAGAAACCGGCGAAGATGTTAATTTTTGACTATTTTGTGCTCTTTTTGTTCAACTGAATTCATCTGATGAACATATTTGACCAGGGCTATATTTCTTCTGATTTATCTTCTAACTCAGAGTCATCAAACTGTATTTTGATTAGGGGATTAGTCTCTAAAGGCTTTGTAAGGGGCATTTTAGCGCCCTAGTCTATAAAAATGTTAAATTAGCCTTTACTCCTCTAATATGTGTCGAAACATTCCCTAAACATGTGGATAGCAAAATCATTTCAACCCATCTTAAAAGTGTCTGGGAACTAGTTTGATATTTTATTTACTCTGGGACTAAAATGGTTCCCACAATCGGGTGATTATTTTAGAACATTTCTCAATTTAATAACATCAATGGCAATTTTTTTTCTTCTATTGCATTATTTGATTTGCCTTTTCTTCTTGGCACTTTATAAGTTGTAATTCATCATTATTGTTTGAGTAGTTTATCATTTGTTCTATGTTCTGCTAAATTTAGAAAATTTCTTTTGTTGCTTTCATAGTTTTTTAACTAATAGAATGAATGAATGCTTTGCGTCCTCTGATTCATTCCTCGATGATATACTAAGGATTCTATCAGTGTGGTGTTAATCATTTTTGGAGCATTTATTGCTGGAGCTCGAGACCTATCCTTTGATACCTATGGCTATGCCATCGTTTTTCTCTCCAACATCACAACTGCAATATATCTCGCAACTATAGCTCGCATTGGTTAGACTTCATCTCACAACATTTTTAGTGTATTTAAAATTTTGGGAAATTTACATATGTTGCACACAATTTATATGTATTACCTACCTCACACCTAAACTTTCATATTTACAAACATAGCACTTTGGTGCTTTAAATATATGCATTAAAAGGTGTATTTGACTTTTATAAAAAGTAATAATAGTGCTATTTTTGATGCAATATTAAATATTTGAGTGCTATGCGTGTAAATATGAAAGTTTAGTTGTAAGATATGTAAATACGTAAGAATATTGTTCTACATATGGAATGCCCCTCAAATGTTTTCAGTCCATTTCAGCTTTTTGTCTTGACATTTTTCCTTCTTAACCCTTACATTCAGGGAGAGAGCCGCTCGTGCCGCAAAATAAAACTTATTAAACATTGTTGCTGGTCAACAATTTTCAAGAGAAGGGATGGGAAGTCATGTGGCTTAATTTTACTTTACCAGACTGGAGATCTTGAGATTAGGTAATGACCTTAGCCATCACAGCCACTAAGTGATGAAATTTTTATATTGTATTGACCGCATAGTTTTATTACTAGCTTGTTTTGTGTGGTACATGTTTTTTCTCCAAGAAACATGTATGGAATGCTGTCTGGTATGTGCACCTATTTTATTGATTTGGACACTGATTCGAGGTGATTTGGACTCGACCATCAATTTTACTTACTTATATTCTACAGGATTCCAGGTAGGACCCTATTTCCGCACCCTCACCCATTTGTTTGTGCTGAATCTCTCAGTCTATTTGATGAATTTTGTATTTTACTTGCAAATTTTACTGAGAATTTGATGAAAGTGTGAAGTCCACTTTATCTCTTTTGAGACATTAATATCTCCATCTAATGTGGCACATCTAATGTGGCTATGCCTGATTAATTAAATCGAATATTTTTTTGGGTAGATTTATATATATACCAGATACCACTCAATCTTATGTATTTACATATCTAACATATAAGCTCCAATTTTTACATATATGCCACCTTACCTCTGCATGAAAAGGTGTATTTCACTTTTTAAGAGCTAAAATAGTGGTATTTTTTATGTGATATGAAATGTTTTAGGTGGTATAAATGTAAAAAAGCAAAGTTTAGATGTTAGATATGTCAAAACAAAAGAATTCTGTGGTAATGTACCCCCGTTTTTTTTTCCTGTTTTCTAATGCTGTCACAAGAACTTTAGGGCTTTTATGATTTGTCTATTTCGATAAGCTAAGCGAGCAATATGGAATTTAAATTTTTTAAGCGAAGTTGAACCATTTTATCAACCAAAACAGTTAGGTGGAATAAACTCAATAATTTTGTAATGATAATTAGGAGCTTAAGTTTCAATAAGTTTTTTAGTCAAGTCTAATAATACCGCTTTTGCTAACAAACTTATAATCTGTCGTGAACATAGAATGATTAGCATTAACTGATTGAATTTAGAAAATAATTTGTAAGACACTCAAATGGAAATCAATGACTTTGTACGGATTACGTAGGTGCATTAATTTCAAGAATTTAGGCAGAATTAGAGAAATTCCATGAAGATATTGTAAAGGTGTGGACTTAGCCAAAACTGTTCATTATCCCAATTATTTATGGTATTTATCATATCAATTCTTATTTTTCATTTATCTATGTTGAGTAATGTCTAAGGCGGTAAACCTATTCTCATAAATCAATTTGAATAACTTCCATTCATTAAACTTCACATATGATATTTTTTCTTTCTAATCATTTGCTGTTTATTTTATCGACTTATGTGTGTATATTTTTCTTTAAAAAAAAGTGCTATTTTTAATGATATTAATGATTTGAGTGTGATGTATGTAAATACATAAGAATTACATGCTACGTATGTAGATGTCCCTAAAATTTTTTGCTTAATTTGACATTTTTCCTGATCTATGTTGTTTTAGGCAAATCAAGTGGCTTGAACACCTTTGGTCTCATGTGGTGCAATGGTATGATGTGTTTCTTTTCCTAAATTTGAGGGTGCTTAATTTCCCAATTAATGTCTTAATTTAATTTTGAAATTTTCTGCATATAATTATTTCTCAGTAGGACGCAATGGAGAATAAGGATTCATGTTGCCGACCCCATTTGGTGGGATAAAAGTTTGTTGTTGTTGTTGTAATTATTTCTGTATTTTTTCAGGTCTGGTATGTGCACCTATTTTATTGATTTGGACACTGATTCGAGGTGATTTGGACTCGACCATCAATTTTACTTACTTATATTCTACAGGATTCCAGGTAGGACCCTATTTCCGCACCCTCACCCATTTGTTTGTGCTGAATCTCTCAGTCTATTTGATGAATTTTGTATTTTACTTGCAAATTTTACTGAGAATTTGATGAAAGTGTGAAGTCCACTTTATCTCTTTTGAGACATTAATATCTCCATCTAATGTGGCTATGCCAATTAAATCCAATATTTTTTTGGGTAGATTTATATACATACCAGATACCACTCAATCTTATGTATTTACATATCTAACATGTGATGGTGATATAGATGGGGATGTTATTAGTACAATTCAAGTTGGATGGTTGAAGTTGAGGAATGCATTGGGCCTATTGTGTAATAGAAAAGTATTGCTTAGATTTGAAGAAAATTTTATAAGATGGTGGTGAGACCTATAATATTTTATGACGCAGAATGTTGGCCTATAAAAGAGAATCATAAAACTAGGTTAAGTATTGCTGAGATGGAATGCTTAGATGGATGTGTGATTTTACACTTAGAGACAAAATTCAAAACAAAATATATCCGTGAAAGGATTGGTGAGGGTTGATGTAGCTCCAACGGTAGACAAGAGTTAAGAGGGTCTTCTTTTAGATAGTTTGGTCATATTAAATGTCGACCACATGTTGATCCAAATGTTTTATATTCAACTTTTTTCAAGAAAGGTAGAGATAGACCTAAAAAG